GGCGAGGGGGGGCGGGGGGCACAAGCAAAGCACACACACCCCCACAAAGGAGCAGCTGTAGGGAGGGTCGAGAAAACCCTCACAGCAGCATCATCATCATCTTCATCAGCATCTATTGATGGTCCTTCGTTTTTGTTGTTTCTTAAATCAAAAATGAGGGCAGTGGGGGAGGAAGAGGAGGAGCAATAGTCATCCTCCGCAGAAGAGGAGGGAGGTGGAGGCAGACCTTGTTTTTTTTTGAGGATGAGGATGAGGATGAGGATGAGGATGAGGAGGCGGAGGCGGAGGCGGAGGCGGAGGCGGAGGAGGCGGAGGCGGAGGAGGAGGAGCAGGAGGAGGAGGAGGAGGAGGAGGAGGAGGAGGAGGAGGAGAATCTCAAGGCTCACGACTCATAGACCGTCGGGTTGCTGACTCGTGCGATAACATTGAGAATCTGAGCGCTCTTCAACCTTGCCTGCAAGCATGTGAGAGACGAAAAGAGCGCAGGGGTCGGAGAGGGGGGAGAGAGGAGGGAGCAGGAAGAAGGGAGGCGGGAGGAGGGCAGTAGAGGAAGGCAGTAGAGGAGGGCAGTAGAGGAAGGCAGTAGAGGAGGGCAGTAGAGGAAGGCAGTAGAGGAAGGCAGTAGAGGAAGGCAGTAGAGGAAGGCAGTAGAGGAAGGCTGACCTCCAACCACTCGACGCTTCTTGAATTCGCAGAGTAGAGCAGGTGGATCGAGACATTGCATGCGAGGTTGGCCAGCCTGAGCAAAGATCGCTGTACAAGGTTGCGTCAAAGGAGAAGGCAAGAGGAAGGCAGAGGCAGCATGGGAGGGGAAGGAAGGGCGAGGAAGGAGGGGAGAGGCAGGGGGTGCTTGAGCCTGGCGATCACCTCTGACAAACGAGGAAATCTGAAGTAGATGGGAGGAACGGCAGGCACGAGCGTTTCCTGACTTCCTCCCCAGATCTCTGCAGCCGAGAACCGCACAGAGCTTGACTCCTCCTCGCTCGCTCGTACTGGCTGCCTCGAACCCTGATCCCCTTCCCTCTCTGACTGCCTCCTCCCTGCATGTCCTCCTGCTGGAACAAAGTTTTGCTGTTTGGGCTGGTTTCGGTTTTTCCACGAGGAGAAGTTATCTTTTACCCTCTCATCACTGAGCGATTCGAGTCAGCCCACTCAAATTGCTTCAAGGAAACTTTCACCGAGAATGATTGTAGTGACGATCTCTGCTCCTGCTCCTGCTCCTGCTCCTGCTCCTGCTCCTCTGATAGCCGTTCTCTGCCCTATTCATCCCTTCCCCTGCATACCGCTGAGCCCCTCCTTCCCATCGGTTCGGAGCTGTGCTCCTGTACTCTTTTGTTTCCCTCGTCTGATACTGCTGCCTCCCCCCCCTCGGCTGCTCGTGTAGTTCCAGTGCTCATGGCTCTTCCGCACATGTCAGGAACAAAACAAGATCAGCAACATAATCCCAACCTCTCTCGAGCTCCACGAGTCCCTGCCAACCCACAAGTCACTCACTGACGCCCTGTGGAGGCACAGCAATCGAGTCACCGTGATCGATCGTCGTGTCTCGGACGAGAGTCCTGCTGGGGTCGCCAGTCCTCGCGAGGGAAGTTTCTGCGAGACATCTGATGTAACAAGTCATGAACCCACATGCTCCTCAACATCTACCAACTCGGCTTCTCCTCCGTTCGAGTCTCCTCGCTTCAGTCAAGTTTCTAAGAAACAATCTGAAGCCGACCTGCTCGCGATTGTGATCTGCCCTCACTTTCCACACATGTCTCGTTCACTTCCTCCCTTTCTGTCCCATCGATCATCTCTCACCAGTGTATAGCCATGTTCAGATCCTCCTCTACCCTTCCTTTCATCCCTGTTCCTCTTTTCTGCCCTTCGCCTTCTCTTGGCTTCCCTTCCCCTCACCTACCGTATCCTCCCCTCCCCTCCCCTCAATTCCTCTCCC